AGTTATTTTCTAAAATTCAACTTCTTGTTTGATACATGGAAACACAATAAAATGCTTTGTCCATATTTTCAGTAGAAAATGTTTAAGAATAAGACAAATGAGGCAAACAAAATGTAATTCAAATGTATTCAATGAAGCATGGTAATTTTCACATTTTGTTTCTTTTAATACTCTTTCTTCAGTTATATTAATAGCCTCTGCATTTTCCTCCTGTCCTCTGTGCCTCAGGTTTTGTTTACTTCATCTTTCCCTCTTTTTATTTTGATGACATGTTGCCACTAGCCTCCTCCAGCAGAGGGAGGGGGTGTGTGTCCAATAGGGCTGTGTCTACAGGGTCAGAGGGTCTCCTGACTGAGAAGGCTGGCTACCTCATGGGTGCCAGGCTCCAATAAAAGCCAGGGTCCCCCCTCCATATGTGGGGTGGGGGGAGGGTAACAGAGAAATTATCTGGCAAACTATGCCCTACGACTTCTTCCTAGCATACATGAGAGTTAGAACAAAAATATGCTAATGACTTCAGGTGGTTAAGAAATTATCTTAACCTGAAGAAACAGTTTGTGGAGAACAAAAGTGACCTGATCATAGGTCTCGGGCAGAAATTTCTTCCCTAGCTCAGGAAAGGGTAGAGTAATAGCATTTGCATCATCCCAAGTTGGTTTGACTTCCTTCTTAGGAACTGCCAAAGTCAGCGGGCTTCAGGCCAGCCTGCTCCATGGCCTTCCAGGCAGAGACCTGGTCTGTCTGCTTCCCAGGTCTAACAGCGTCTGGCACCTAGGATATACTCCATAAATACGAGTAGGTGAATGGTTTGAGACCCAAGTCTGAGCTCTTATCTTCTGCATCTTTTTACTTAGCTCTGAAAGAGTCTAAGCTTTGTAGTGGTGCCTGAATGGGCTAAGGGTCCCACACTCCCCAACCTTACTGTCATTTCCTAAAGGCAAGAACTATGTACTCCTCTATCTCAATTTTAGCATCTAGCTGTGTTTTTTCTTCTTCTTTCTTAAATTATTTAAGAGGGACTTCCCTGGCAGTCCAGTGGTTAAGACGCCATGCTTCCACCACAGAGGGTATGGTTTCGAACCCTGGTCAGGGAACTAAAGATCCCAGAAGCCAAAAAAAAAAGAAAAAAAAAAGAAAAAAATATATATTCTTAACCAACACTTATTTTGCAACAGGCACTCTTCCAAAAACTTTACAAATAGCAACTCATTCAATCATCATGATAACCCTATGAAATAGGTTCTATTGTCACCCCTATTTTGCAGATGAGGGAACAGAGGAACAGAGAGCTTATGTAACTTGCCCAAAGTCACACAGCTAAATTGTGGAGCTGGGATTTCATCTGTACAGGCTGGATCCAGAGGCTGTGCTCCACACACACACTACGCCTTACCTTGCTGCCTCACCTTGCCAGTGTTAGAATGATGGAGGAAAGAAAAAGTTTGGAAGCTAACTTCACAGAAAACTGGGAAGGGAGCAATATTTATACAAAAGAATTCCAAATGAATGGTATGTTTCCAAATACTTCATGCATAGTGTGTTGACACTATATGAAACATAGTCATAAAAATCTAGGCTGATGTGAATACCTAACTTGAAAGATGTTGTTCCTTGGCTTAAAAAAGATAACACTATCAAACTGTGAATCATTTGAAGTTCTCAAAAACATGACACTGACTTCCAACCAAATGAATAATTACTGTACTCACTTAGTAGGAAATTGTACAAACACACAACTGGTAAAAAAGTTCAAAATTCAGTTATCCTCGTAGCCAGATGTACTAGTTACGGCTGCCGTAACGAAGTACCACAAAGTGCCTTAAATAAAAGAAATGTATTGTCTCACAGTTCTGGAAGCCAGATGTCCAAGATCAAGGTGTAAGCAGGGTTGGTTTTATTTGAGGGCTGTGAGGGAAGGCCTCTCTCCTTGGCTTGTAGATGGCTGGCTTCTCCCTTTGTGTCTTCAGATCATCTTCCCTCTATGTGTGTCTGTCTCTGCATCCAAATTTCCCCATTTTATAAGGACCCAGTCATATTGGATTAGAGTCTACCCTAATAACCTCATTTTAACTTGATTACCTCTATAAAGACCCTACCTCCAAATAAGGTAGGGGTTTTAACTCCAACTTATCCATTTTGCAGGGGACACAATTTAACCCGTATCAGCAGGGGGTAAGAGTCCTGTCTGAATTCTAGCTCTGACATTTATCAATTTTGAGACCCTGGCATACCTCATTTCCCTCCCTTAAATGAGGATAAAATAGATAGTATCTACACCATGCTGTTGTGAGGATTAAGTGAATTAGTACATGTAACACATAGAATACTGAGTAGTACAATGCATGTTAGATATTCATTAATTCATCAAATAGTTTGAACACCTATTAAGTACCAGACACTGTTCTAGGTGTTTGAGACACAGATATAATCAAAACATGCAAAAATACCCACGTTTGTGGATATCATAATTTAGTGGGGAAAGAAAAAAAATACAAATAGTAGAACACATAGAATATCAGAGAGTAATAAGTGTTATAGAGCAAAATAAAGCAAGACAGTGGCTAGAGAGCATTGGGGGTTGCAATTCTGGATCAAAGAGGGCCTCACAAATTTGTCATTTGATCAAGGATCTGATGAATGGGAGGAGACAGTTAAGTGCTTATCTGGAGCTTTTAGATAGAGAAGGTTTTCCCCACTTCAGCACTACTGACATTTGGGGCTGGATTATTCTTCTTTGCGGGGGTGGGCGGAAGGGGGGGGGCGGACACTGACCTGTGCATTGCAGGATGTTTAGCAGCATCCCTACTAGATGCTAGTAGTGGTAACATCTGCTACCTGAGTTGTCACCACTCGTCTGACAACCAAAGATGTCTCCAGACATTGCCACATGTCCTGTGGGGGACAAAATCACTGCTGTTTGAGAGCCACTGAGACAGAAGAAAAGTAAAAGCTCAGGGGCAGGAGTGGGCTCAGCTTGTTTGAGGCACAGCAAGGAAGTAGGCAATAGGAGATGAAATTAGAAGGGAGAAGCATGAACCACACATATCATCTATGACCTTGAGGCCAGCAGATGGGAAGCTACTGGAGGGTTAAGAGCAAAAAGACAGCACAACTTGACTCATATTTTTAAAATATTCCAGTTGGCTGCCACACTGAGAATTGCCTGTAGGTACAAAGACAGAAATGGACACCTCAGCGGGGAGGCTATCACAGTAATCCTATTATTGGTTTATTTACTTTTTTTTTTTTTGGATTTAATTTGGTCACTGATTTGCCTGGATGGCCATGGGACTACTGAGAGAATTGAGCTAAGATCTGGGGAAGAAAAGAGGAAGGAGAATTAGCACAAAAGGAAAAGGCTAAGAGTGGGCAAGGTAGCTTTTCACCGAAGTGTAAGGCAGTACTGTAACGTCAATTTGAAAGAGCAGAGGGGTTGCGTAGGACAAAGAGAGAATGTTGGGGGCAAGTCTGTGCGCAGGGCCAGTGAATGCTATACTAAGGAATGGGAGCTCTGGTCTGTAGGGAACGGAGAGCCTTTCAAGCTTAAGCAACGAGGAAAACTCCGCAGCAGGGTGCAGATCACAGGAGTAAAAAAGAATACTTTCAAAGGGAGTTTCCTGAAATAATACGGGCGAGCGGTAACAAGAGCCTAAGTTTAGGTGGAGGAAAAGCATGAGCACGACATTCTGAAGGAAGCAAAGTGAAGTCCTGCCCAAAGATTTGGAATTACCTTCTGCAGGGTAATTCTGCTGGTAGGCAAGCGCGCACTACTGACTTCGCGGCTGGGGTCTGGAAAAGTTTCCATAGTATCAGAGATCAAGCAAATGCCAAGCCCACCATGAAATTGTTTAATCAGTGTAGGGCAGGACTTTTCTTGGAAATGGTGTCCCCAGAAGAGGGTGTGTTAAGTTTCTTCAAGGGTCTTTTCAAAAAGACTACTATCTGTGAGAACTATGCCGAGTACTGACAACGAAGGGAAAAGTAGGTCTGCAACCAAAGAGTTCTTTCAGGATAGTCGAGCATTTCAATTTCTAGATTTAAAACGTCTCAGCAGGTTTAGCAGAGCAGGGTAGGTACATCAACCAGTCCCGCTACTTTTTAGGTGGGAGCAACAAGGCCGCCTGCCCCCTCCTTTCCACCTCCTTTCGAGTACGATTTCCGAAGGGACCTCACAAGACTCACCACCCTCTTTTTACCCAGTTAACAGAGGCAGTGGGCGGCCGCCCAGCAGGGAGCAGCGGCTGCTACCGCCGCCGCCGAGGGTGTGGCGCTCGCCGCGGACCAGACCGCGGGAGGGAGAGGGGGCGGCGCGGCTGGGCGGGGCGGGGGGGG